TACGGGCGGGGTGGGCGGGCCTGCCGTCTCCTCTCGGCTCGGGGTTGGGTTTCCACCCTGCTTCTGCTAGGGCTCTCACGTCGGGAATCAGTGTAGGTGTGGTAGTTTGGGAGTTTCCATATTTCAGGGAATTTGACTTCGTAGTTCAATTTTTTTGTTCAAATGTTTTAGAGCCTTTGATATTTCATTTTTAGGTAAATACGGTTGGGGCCAGGAGGGGGAGCTCATGCTTGCAGAGTGCGCCTCGGTTCCTCAAGTTAGGAAGCTTTTAAACACTCTGTCCTTAGCGTTTATTTTGCGTAGCATAAAAAGAAATTCCATGCAGTGGCCTTCAAAGGGTGATTGGTACTCGGTTGTAAAGGAACAGCCCATTTAGCTGTAGTCCAGCTTCCCAGAGACCTGATTCTTAGCAAGGAAATGTCTTTGAATAGCTGTTTTTGTTCCCACCTAGTAAGTTAAACACAGGCATAGAGCTAAATTTAAGGGTTGAAGAAACTGTGGAGCCTTTGGTGACTAGCAGTGAAGTGTTAAGTACCACTGTTTCAGTTCATCGTCTCAAAGCAGTTCCTTGAGGGTTGCGTACTACTCTTAACACGCATTTTACAGATAAGACATCTGAGACTGCTGATCTCAGAGCCTGTCACCTTACTCTCTTTCCCAACCTGTGCCCCTTAACTGTGGAGCTCTTGGCTTGATCGTGAGTCTGTAGTTCACTCGCTCACCTTTGACCACCTCCTGTCTTTCTCCCACTCAGTTCCCCATCACAGCCCTGCGGGAAATCAAGATCCTCCAGCTTCTAAAACACGAGAACGTGGTTAACTTGATTGAGATCTGTCGAACCAAAGGTAAGTTGTTTGGATCGGGTCTCCATCTTCAGATGGGGAAAATGAGGCTTACCCGTCCCAAGGCTTTGTTTGTAAAGTTGGAAGCGGACACGCTTAAATTGCCTCTTCTTAACCCAGACCTACCGACTGTGACTGCTTTCCCGGGTCCTTTCGTCATAGCTCTTGCTGCCCCGGGGCCTGCCACAGCACCCGGCCTGGAGGAGGCACTCAGCAAATAGTTGACCAGTGAAGGAATGCACAGCCGGTTACCTGAGTGTCCGTGGGTTGGAGGGGTAGAAGCTGGCTGTGGGAAGATAAGTTGCACATGGGGTTTTATACTTTCTTTTTCTCACCCCCTTGCCCATTCTTCCCGTCTCAGCTTCCCCCTATAACCGTTGCAAGGGCAGCATATACCTAGTGTTTGACTTCTGCGAGCATGACCTTGCGGGGCTGCTGAGCAACGTCTTAGTCAAGTTCACGCTGTCCGAGATCAAGAAGGTCATGCAGATGCTGCTCAACGGCCTCTACTACATCCACAGAAACAAGGTGGGGGGCAGAGTGGGGGAAGAGACCGAGGCTGGGGTTGGCCTCCGCTCCCACTGCAGGGTGGATGTGCCTGAAGGGCCCTCGGAAACCTGATCGAGCCGTCTTGTGCTTCCTGCAGATCCTGCACAGGGACATGAAGGCGGCTAACGTGCTCATCACCCGCGACGGGGTCCTGAAGCTGGCAGACTTCGGGCTGGCCCGGGCCTTCAGCCTGGCAAAGAACAGCCAGCCCAACCGCTATACCAACCGTGTGGTGACGCTCTGGTACCGGCCCCCGGAGCTGTTGCTCGGTGAGGACTCCCGAGCGGGCAGAGGGGGGCAGGGGCTGGGCACTTACCCGGCCTCAGTCCCCCACTGCCAGGGCTTCTTGAGCCGCCGGCCCTGGGGCATTGCGTCTCAGGAGGCCCTCGGGCTCAAGGGGCCCTCCTGGTGCGCTCTTCTTCCCAGGGGAGCGGGACTACGGCCCCCCCATTGACCTCTGGGGTGCCGGGTGCATCATGGCGGAGATGTGGACCCGCAGCCCTATCATGCAGGGCAACACCGAGCAGCACCAGCTTGCCCTCATCAGCCAGCTCTGTGGCTCCATCACCCCTGAGGTGCGTGGCCAGGCTGCAGGTCCCCAGGGTCCCCGCAGGATGCAGAGATCTGGAAGTCCTCCTGGCAAGGGAGGAGTGGGGAGTGGAATGGAAGGAAAGCCCTGGAGAGGTGGCTGGTGGAGGGACAGGGCTGGTGGTCGTTAGAGTCACACGGGCAGTGTTCAGATCTCACCCCCATCGCAGTTCTGTGGCCTCGGGGAGGGCATTTGAATCCCTCACCTCAGGGCTGAGTTTTCTCCTGTGTGAAACAACTACGCGTGTGTCGGGCTTGGTGAAAATATCGTAGGTGACTTGGGTAAAAGGGTGTGGCGCTTGGTGTGTGTCAGGGACACAGTTACTGCTGCTTTTGCTTTGGAGAGGTCCGGTTCGTCCTCCAGGGGTGGTCTGGGAGCATCTGAGAGGAGAAGTTTTAGTCCCTTCCGGTGCCCAACCAGTGGACAAAGCCACGCACCCCCCTGAATTGACGCCGTCCTCTCCCCATGCCTCCCGCCCAGGTGTGGCCAAACGTGGACAAGTACGAGCTGTTTGAGAAACTGGACCTGGTCAAGGGCCAGAAGCGGAAGGTGAAGGACAGGCTGAAGGCCTATGTGCGTGACCCCTACGCGCTGGACCTCATCGACAAGTTGCTGGTGCTGGATCCCGCACAGCGCATCGACAGCGACGATGCCCTCAACCATGACTTCTTCTGGTCTGACCCCATGCCCTCGGATCTCAAGGGCATGCTCTCCACCCACCTGACGTCCATGTTCGAGTACCTGGCGCCACCGCGCCGGAAGGGCAGCCAGATCACCCAGCAGTCCACCAACCAGAGCCGCAATCCCGCCACCACCAACCAGACGGAGTTCGAGCGCGTGTTCTGAGGGCCGGCTGTCGGCGCTTTGCATTAGGGCAGTTTTATTTTTTTCTCCTGCTGTGTGACTTGCATTGTGGAGGTTATGGGGCATTTGAGTTTTCCCTAGTGCTTTATTTTATTTGATCCCCACCCTGGGCGCTGGGAACGCCAGCTGAGTGGACTGGAGGAAAGCTTTGGCTGAAAGCCCAGGAGGGCACTGGGGCTGCCTCCCCTGGTTCCCTGGCTTTCGAGATGATGACCAGAGGGTCTCCGTTTACTTTCAGACAGGAATGGGGTGGGAGGAGAGGCACACCCCACCAGTGACTTTGTAAGCGTTCCCAGCGTGACCGGAGCAGGGGACAGGCCCCTGGCCTCTCGTCAGCCCGCCTCTCGAGATGAG